ACACGGGGCACGAACCCCGTTCTCCTGGTTCAAAGTCCAGGTTCCGGCCCTCCGTCCACCCCAATCACTTCCTTGCTCATCTGTTCTATCAAATATCATACCTGCCTTTACCGACAAACAGACTGACGCTAACGGGCTTTCCCACTGTGTTGAACTATGACGCTACAGGGATCCCCAGTGCGTTACAAACTGACGCCGATGGGTCTTGACCATGCGTCCGTATGTGACGAGTCGGGGAGTGAGAACCGTTGCCAAAAAGGCGTTAAAGGGTACCCAGGGTGTTAACAAGTGACGCCAAGCGGTCTTGATCAAAGCATCCATGTGTAAGAGTGCGCTAACCGTGTTGCTGCAGGTTTGCTGTTGCCTTCCTGTACTATGGGATCAGCTTCAAGATCTCAGGTTTTGGCGTCAGTATCTACCTCACGCAGTTCATCTATGGCGCCATCGAAGTTCCCGCCAAAATCCTGACCTTCTTCGTCCTGGACTGGATCGGCCGGCGGAACGGCCAGGCGGGGTTTCTGATCACAACGGGAGCTCTGATTGGAGTAAACACGGCTATACCTTTAGGTGACATCACTTCCTGTCTCTGCACACACACACATAAACGTGACATTTTGAGGCTGCAGACGAGATAACCTTCATCGTGCATTAATTAAAAAGATGACTCTGGCATCTCTGGACCCTCACACACATTCTGCTTCTCCTTCAGAGTATTCAGTGCTTCGTACGTGCATCGCTGTGGTGGCGAAGGGTTTCTCAGAAGCGGCGTTCACCACCGCGTTCCTCTACTCAGCTGAACTCTTCCCAACCATCCTCAGGTAAAACCCCAAACCTGAAACCACGAGCCAGAGGTCCCTGACTGAAGCTGCTTTTAATTATAAAGCATTTTTTACCCGTTACTCGTTCAGCTGTGTTTATCCTCAGCGGATCGTATAAAGGGAGACGTCTGCTGCAAACATTATTAGCATGTTTGCTAAGCGTCATGTCAACAACACGTATTTTGAGCCTTTATTTAAGGAATAGTAGCAGTACCACAGTACTCCTTTACAAGAAAAAATCAAATCATACTTCAATAATAGAAAAGATTTCAGAGGTATTAACAGAAAAACACGTTTCTGCTCAATAGAAGTCAATGCAGTCTAAACGGCATGATATGACACACGAAATCCAAAAAATGTGTTTGAATACCACACTAAATGATCTAAGAAATTGGCGTGTTAAACACCTTTTGATGATACCAAGCCGGTTGACAGGGTGGACAGTAATTAAGTACATTTACTCAAGTACTGTACTTCAGTACAAATTTGAGCTACAGAACACATTTGTTTCCGTTTGAAGAGGCCTACTGGCAGTGGAGATAAAATCTGATGTTTGTCCTGAGGGTGGCGCTAGGGGGAAGCAGCAATGGCATCAGGAAATTGCATGTAAAGGTGACCAAACATGGTTGTGGTTTCTTGTTCTGGACCAAGGGTATAATACTTAATGTGACATGTAGTGTAAAGCACTAAACTATAGAAAAACTATAGATTATACAAGTACATGTTGGACGCACAGTGTCGTCCTCAGGCCCTGCTGCCACATGGGTGGGGAAAGTGAATGTTGTGTTGTTGGACAGGCAGTGTGGGTTAGGCTACACCTCGTGCCTCTGTCGGATCGGGAGCGCCCTGGCTCCGATGATCATACTACTGGAGGACATCTGGCTTCCTCTGCCGCCGCTGATATTCGCTGGGACGGGATGGTCAGCGGCAGCTTGGTCTTCATGCTCCCAGAGACGCTCAACGCCCGTCTGCCTGAAAACATCTCCGACGTCGAGGAGGGAAGGTGGAGTGTTTGTTCTTCAATGTCTGTGTTTCTTCTGCTGCTTCATCTCTAAACGCTCTGGTCAAGTCACAGATCTGTATCCCATCCTGGGGAACAACCTGTTCTGACTCCCCAGTCGTCACATATGGATGCATGATCAAGACCCGTCAGTTTGTAACGCACTTGGAAGCCCTGTAGCGCCATACAAAATATATTAATTAAAAACACCAAAACTAAAATGACAATCAGAGAGCCAAACGTGAGCGTCATCGTTTCTAAAGTCCTCCATTTTTCCCCATCCTCACTAAAATGCTCTCCGGAGTTTTAAAACGAAAAACAGGATTGGGGGCATATTCAAACTTCTGTGTTTTAGGTCTTCGTTTTCACCGTTTTAGTCTCGACGGAGGTGCAAACATAGCAAGAGGTCTCTGTTTTAAAACCAAAATGCAGCAGTGTGGGTGGGGCAGTGAGTTTGCTGCCTCCCCACAGTTTAATTGTGCTCTGTAGGAAAACAGGAGCTGCATATGCATGGAAATGAAAGACCTGTAGACTCTCTCTGTCAGGAGGAAGTCTTCATGATGATGATCAACACAAGTCCAGTCAGAGCTCTGAGGAAACAGCTGCTGAACAAAATCTGCGGAAGTTCACCGAAATTCTACGTATGAATATTTATTGCTGTTGCCTTAATTATGGAAGTCCAATTGACCGACTCCTGAAACTCAAGCCACCTGCTTTGGAACTATTTTGGATGATGTTTCTAAACTGAAAGTAAAAGATATCTTAGCGAGGTCGGGGGTTTGAATCTGACCCCTCGGCCCTTTGCTGCAGGTCGTTCCCTCTCTCTCTCCCACATTTCCTATTACGCTCAAACTGTCCTGTTACAATAAAGGCTAAAAAAATAAAAAAGAATGCAAACTGGACTGGAAATGTTTGCAGTTATTTAATTTGAGCTGATATTAAAATCCTTAAAAGGAAAATATTTATTTAAAGTATCTATCAATAGTTCATTAAGCTTGCTGACTCTGAATGAAGCTTGTGGCTGGTGGCGCCGTCCGCTGACCGTCACTGCCCTTCTATCTCCCCGCCTCCCCCCTCCGCTCTCCCTCAGACCACCAGCTTCACATCTGATGTCGTCTCTCTCCTCCTCCTACAGTTCGTTATGTGGACGCCAGATTAACTTAATTAGATTCAAATGAAGTTTGTGTGATTCTCAAAAAGAAGCTCTCTCTTCAGGGTCGTTGTTGGTTAACTACACTTTAATCATTAGTTTAGACACTGTAGGTGTCCTGTTAGTAAATGTTAATCCACATCTTCCAACCAATCAGAATGCAGAATTCTCTCATGGTTTAACTACTCTCCTCCTTTTTGTTCTTTCTGTTTAGACACAGACATAGTCATGCAAAGGGAGATGCAAAGATTGAGAAGAAAAGAAGGTCTGCAGACTCGGCAGCCCCGCAGAACAGCTGATCAGCTGATGGTCCTGGCTGGTCACATGATGAACTGGTCCTGCAGTCTGCGGGGACTCTGCAGGAATCGGTGCTTTATGACTTGATACAGAATTAGTTTTTTAGTAATTTCAGTCTTGTGTAAAGACGTGTTTTAAAACCTTGTAGCTGTCGATGATGTTCAGCTGACTGTAAGTTCTGAGCTCCAGGTGGTGGATTCTCGCTGTCTGGGTTCAGGTACCTGCCACTTTGCACAGAATTTACTGATTTCAAATTAAGACTATGCAAATAAAATGTTTTGTGTATATGCGTCGTCTGTTTTCTAGTGTAAAAAAACTAAACCTACAGTTTCTCTTACATCTTCTCCAGTTTCTGTTATTAAAGGCTGATGAGAAACAACAAAATATCCAACAACATTTTCATCTCAACTCGTCACATATAAACACTTGGTCAAGACCCCCTGGTGTCGCTTTCACTGCCTGGGTACGCCTTTAGTGTCATGTTGCAACATTTAGGGCTCCACAGTCAAGTTAGCAACATTAAATATGCTATACTGTTCACCATTCTCCATTTCAGTGCTGTTCATACTGTTATATTGTCATATTGTAGATACTGTATACCAAATCCACCTACCTCAAGTCATTACTCCTGCACAAAATACTTATACTTATTTATTCCAGCATCATTTGCACTATGCTTCATTGCACTGTGTACATGTATGCATGTATATGTACCTGTATATCACATCCACCTCCAACATGAACATACTCCTGCATCCTTTGCACTCTAATCACTGCACTATTTGTCAATATGTCTATATTGTTTTTGTTCATAGTGTGTATATTTGTGTTGTCTATACTGAAGTCTTATTTTTATTATTGTGATTTTGTATTTTGTATAAGTAAGCACATCGTGAGCAATGTACAATCCTGAGTCAAATTCCTCGTATGTGTACACATACCCGGCAATAAAGCTGATTCTGATTCTGATTCTGATCTGGTTAGACTTTCAAAATAAAACTAGTGGTTATCATTGTGAAAGGTAGCAGTTTGGTTAGGTTTAGGAAAAGATCATGGTCTGAACCTCATTGGTTTAACTTAAAATAACTACATAACTAAAAAGAATCAGTATTGTCTTTATGTATTACACGGGAGACGAACACCGATTTCAGAACCACCTAGTTATTTATACTAGCCCTAGTTTCAGCGTTAAGCCATGACGCTCACAGATGCAATGTGTGTTGACGCCGAAGGATGTGACAAAGCGAAGCCATTTCACGCCGTGCGAATGAAAATGGGCTGAAACACCAGCATCTAGAACACAAAACGAAAAGAAGAAAGACACTGACAGACCTTTTCCTCATTCTTTTACTTTATTGTTCTGGATGAGCTGGATATTTTTCTCAGGTGCTGGTGGAGACCAAAACCAGAGCTAAAAAGAGAGTGAATGTTGGACTCATCAGGTGACACAAACAACAGCGAGCATGTTGCATGTTAGCATCAACAACTTTACCTTACATCGGTGGGTTTTCAGGAGTCTACGGTCTCTTGGAAAAGCTAAGTTTACTTGCTTAGTTTTGCTCAGTCTGCAATCATGACTGTTATTTGATCCCATAGACACTCATCAATTGAGTCAAGACAGCCCAATACTACTGTTACTACACCAAATACATAGAAAAGGTCTGTCCTAAGGCGTTTATTAGTTTCTGACTCTGGGAAAGTGGAAAAAACTGTCTCTAAACTACAAATCACACACATTTAGGATGTTCTGTAACTCTGCTCCAGATGTGTGCGACCTCTGACATATAGAGCAATTGTAAGTAGCTTTAGACAAAAGAGTCAGCTAAAGGAGTAATGATTAATGTGTAGCAACACTTCAAATGATAAAACAACTCTTTTGTATATTTTGTTTGAATCTGTTAATACAGTTCACTGGCATGCTTGCATGAGGCTCTGCTTTGAGCTAAATGTATGTTAGCATGCTCACGATGATTAGCAGTATGCACCATGTCCACAATCTTAGTTAGCCTGAGTCAACAGCTAATTAGCAGTAACCAATCATAGAGCTGAGGCTGATGGGAAGGAGATTAGTTCTGCAGATATTTGGACATTAAATTGTTGATTAATCACCACAGTTCTTACAATTCATCCTGAGTGGACCATGAACCACAATCATAACAACACTTGAGTTTTCACTTCCAGCTGGGATATAAAGTACAGTAGTACAAATACACACCTGGATGTTGTGGATTTAAAATACATTTCTGCCCGTGATTGGCCGGCTGGTGTGAAGCAGGTGTGTTCACTGTGTGAAGCGTCTCTCGATGCTGAAGGCAGTGCATCAGGAACTGACGGCCTCTCATCGCTCTCCAATCAGTTCCTGATGCAGTATCACCAACATCAGGAAGCCTGGGCGTCATTCAGCAGGTGCATTTTCATAAACAGTATGAACATTCACGGCTGCACTTTACCTGTACGTGCACACACAGAGGGAGTTAAACCTACTGTGTTTATTTAAGAGTTACTGAAAAATTAAAAAGTTTCTCAGAGTTGCTAAAATGAACCATGAAGGAAAGTAAGTGATGGGTCTTTTAGTGTTTATTCATTTTCAATGACAGTAATATAGATTGAAATTATAATATTTATAAATGTTGTTTTAATTGTAATATTTTGTTGCTAACTTTCCAATTGACAAATTTACTTTTAAGAGTTTGCTTACTTGTTTTGCCAAAACTTAACATGTGCACATTGTGCAAGCTGCAAAAAATATACCGGAAGTAATTTTCTTTAATACCAAATTATCTTCAAAAACCAGACTAGCTGGTCACAAATTGTTTAAAGCTAATATGTGAACTGAAGCTCAAAATTTTTCATCATTTTCATATTTTGTCAGGCTTTGTTTATTTATTTGTTTATTTGAAAAGGGACAATGTACCCGAGTTAGTCACAGGCTAGTTTCATCGGCAGTCCCCTTGCCAGATGTTATTAGGCATCCTAAAATAGTAAACTGTTAAAGTACAATAAAATACATTATACAATTGAGAAAAGGTAAAAAATTACACTGTTAAAAATCACACCGTCATGTGCTGGGCCACCCTGTCATCTTGATATTTTTATATATTGATTTAAATAATAATTCAATCCTACCATATAAAATGCGTTGTGTTTAATATCTAACTGCATCCAAATATCTAATTTTTCTCCAAATAACAAAATCTGTGTTTTAAAACAGATATTTTAAGTAATTATAACTCAGTTAACTATGAGCAGACTGATAACACTGTTTAGGAAAGGGACATAATAATAGAATTTGCATCTCAATATTGCAATGAAAAGGTTTTTAATGAAACAGGGTGGACATTTCTTATGGTTTATGCTCCAAATATTGGCCCATAGAGATCTAAAAATGTTATTTATGACGAGACATAAAATCATTGAATTATTTTTTGATTAGAAAAAATAGAAAATTGATTTAACATGTTTATAATGAAGAACTTCTTACAAAAAAAAAACATGGTCGTGCTTTCACTTTTTAATAAATCTGAGGCCACAGCTGAACGTAAATATATAGAAAATATTAGGTATATGTGAAAACAGGTGAGCTTTCAGAGGTTTACTGACTTTATACTTAGACTGATGATGTTTTAGTGGAAATGATGATGAGACCTCAACAACAATATAAAGCCTGTTATTTTATACCCCCCCCCCCCCCCCGCCGCTCCTTCAGGCTGATGGTGCTGCGTTCAGGTGAACCTCGGCCGCCTCTGTGAGACGCTCAAAGCTCACAGTTGCCAGCTGAGATTAAACTGGATCACAGCTGTTTCTTGTAAACGCACCAACCGCTGGATTTATATTTCCTCTGCCACAGAGCACCGGGATCGACCTTCCAGCTGATAACTGTCTTTATTTATTTATTTGATTATTTTTCAGGCTTTATTTGCATGACGCATTAAATCAAACATGTTGCCAGAGCAGAAAGTCACATATAAACAGTAGAAAATAAATAATAAACAAAAGACAGAAAAAACAAACAATACATATCTCACATTTAAAGGCTTGTTTTTTTGTTTTTTCACACACCAATTATTATATATAAACTATTATTAAAATAACAAACTATAATAAAAACAATGATAAAAAATATTGTATACATTTTATACAAACAAAAACTATTATATGTTTATTATTAATTAATAATTATTTGTTCCTTTTAACAGCATGACTGGACGTGCAACTGCCACCAGGGGGTGCCAACGAGCCACCGCCACCCAGTTACTCCGTTCTTTCACTTCAGTAAAAGTACAAATACTACAGCGTAGAATACTCCAGTCCAGTAAAAGTACAAAGGTATGAGCATATAAACATACTTAAAATGTAAAAGTACTCACTGTGTAGGATAATATATATATATATGTAATTGGATTCTAATTATTGATGCATTAATATGCAAAATACTTTAATGTTGCAGCTGATTAAAGATGGTTAATTACTTTATATACTGTTATTATTTCTTGTTTATATTTTGTATTATTATTCTGAATCTGCAAAGTCACTAAACTTAAAGTAAAAATGTTTCCCTAAAAGTATTAAGCAGCAGAAAATGGAAATATCACCTCACAGTAGTACTTCAGTAAAAGTACTCACTCACTTTCCACCACCGAGTCAGATATTGATCAGCAGGGCGACTGGATCACCTCTGCAGGTGCTTGTGAGGAAACGTGTGATGTCACAGTTGCCTGCAGAGATTAACAAGTCGACCTGACGACACACGCACACACGCACACGCACACACAGATGTTACCATGGAGACTGGGTGGGCTCCTCTTCTCCCCGTTGTTGTCTCTGAGGCGTCTGGTCTCTCACAGCCTGCAGGGGGCGCTGCACTCTGAGGAAGTGAGGAAGGAAGTGATGTTAGCATCAGGTCATTCTGTGTTCGACATGCAGAAGTTCAACCCTTCAAACACCAGAAGAACGACACTTTCTCCATCCATCCATCGTCAACCGCTTGTCCCGTGTGCAGGGTCGTGGGGAGGGGGGGGTGGAGCCAATCCCAGGTGGCATAGGGCGAGAGGCGGGGTCTGCCCTGGACAGATCGAAGATACATAAAAAGCAACAACCACTCACACCAAATTTAGAGTCACCAATTAACCTGCATGTCTTTGGATGGTGGGAAAGAACCCACGCAGACACGGAGAACACAGAAAGGCCTGGACGACAAATATTCAAACCCTGGACCAAAACACATTTTACTAGACTAGTTTGTCACAAATATTCATTTGTAATCTTATGTGAGAGCACTCTGAAGT